TCATCTTAATTTTTGATGTGTTACCTGTATTGAATCACCCTGTATTAATATGAAGAATTCTATTTTCTCCAATCTTGAAAAAATCGATGGTGGAGATACTCATAGTGATTTGCAATGTCTTTTATCGGAAACCTTTTTTTATGAAGTTATGAACCAGTGAGAATACCACAAATTTTTGAGATAGCCATTAGCCTATGTTCCTTTCTGCGCTCGGAATAAAATCATGTAGCTTTCATGTTCTCCATTTCCAACCGTTATAAGTTATAGATTTTATTGCCAGTAGAATGCACGTGAAAGGTTGCGTAAAATACATGCGTTATTGGAGCGTTAACAAATCACAGTGTACTTCATGAGAAGCCTCTTCTTTAGAACGTGTAAGCGCTTGGTATGCATTATCAAAAGAAATCATCGTTGGTTACATTTTTGAAGAAAACGAGGTTGCAATAACTGTGAATTCTGACGATGTTGAAGATGTACGGTTTTATCAAGATGGAACTATGGTACTCTTATAGCGAAATGCAATATGTTTTTATAAGAAAAGTTGTTAGGATACCTCTTTACACAGACTGTTCGTGGACCATATCAAACTTGAAAGAGAACACTCACCAAGTGATATCTGACGATATTCCTCCAATTCCACCAAACTTGAAGAAGAAAACTCTAATGTCACAGCCAATATCGCCATTATATTGGTGATCCGATGCCAACTCGGGGTTCTATTGCTTGGTTTGGGTAGGCCCTTTTGTGTCCTACATGCGAGATTGGACAATGTGGTGTTCCATCTTGAATATTTGCTATTCAGATGCTCAAACAAAATGGTTAACTCGTCGTCCGATTTCTGCTATCCTTAGTTATTAACCACAATCATTGTAGGCAACAGTAGGTCACAACAGCTCCTCACTTTGTTTCTCCAGCTTTGTTTCATAAAAATAGATTTCACAGTATCGTTCAGTAAGACTTCAATGGTTAGTAAACTTCGAATACCGGATTATTGGTTTTGTGGAATGTTGTCGTTTTTTGGGGTTTGGCAGAGGAAGGTACTTTCAGAGGGTCTTAGCAATAATGCTATTGTAACTTATTTCAAGTGATGTAGGGTTGCAGTATCTACTCTGTGGAGTTTTCTTGCATTAAATCTGTGTATTTAGCAACTTTGTGTTGTAAAGGGACTAAAGCATGACAGCACTTGTTACCCAGTGCGATCTGTCTTTTCATGTCAACCCTACAGTTCACTCCCCCATTACTTTGCTATTGCAAGATTCTCTCCGAAGTCATGAATGTTTATTTAGTTATAGGCCATTGTTGTTGGCTGATCCTATCAGTGGTTGTCCCGGCGCTGCTAATTTTTCCTTTCTGTTATTCCTGTCCTTAACGTAAAGGTGTCCTTCCTTCTGGTTGTGTTTCATTTATATGTTACATACACGTTTATATTAATTCTAATTATTTAAATACTCTATATACTGTGTTTACCTCTACAAATTTCAATTTCAGCGATTACTCTTTCTTATCGATATGGCAAGTAATCCCATACATCCACTTCTTGGACATTTCTTCTGTAGCCCATATTTGCTCATACATTTTGTGTAACTGACAGGTCAGCTGAATTCTTCCATGTTTGTGAGAATACCACAAATTATCGAGATAGCCATTTCAAACCGGATAAGTTAGTTAAGATGTACGGTTTAATCAAGGCTCCATCTTTATGGTACTCTTATAGCGAATTGCAATATGTTTTTATAAGAAAAACAATGATCCTGACAGTTTTTGTTACATTTGCGGTCGATTTACGTTTGCCAAGCAACAAATTTATATTAATGTGAATGTCAAAATGTGTTATATACCAAAATTACTTTAAGACACCAATTTCTAATCAAGATAAATCTTGGGCTTCACATGTAGGTTGTAAATCATGTCTTGAGACCTTAAGACCTTCAGTTATGATGACTGCTATTTTTGTTTAACTAAAACTGTCGGTTTTAATTCTAAAAATTCTCATATTAAGTATCCGAATGTAGCAACTATTATGATATTCCTCCAATTCCACCAAATTTGGAGAAGAAAACTAATGACGATATTGGCTATGACATAAGTCTTCCTGAATATGAAGATGTCGATTCGGAACAACATAGGGCGATGATACTGAGAGCCTATAGTGAGCTACCATTTCAGCAGAGTAAATACAAAGAAAAAATTGATGAAACTTTCGAAAAAAGCGAACATATGACAGCGACTATTTACCAATAGGTTTTTACTTTACTAGGGAAGAATGCTTTGTATAGTTTGCAATGAAGTGCTTGCTAACAGCAGCTTAAAACCATCTTTTGCGTCGACACCTTGAAATCAAACATCCGACATACAAGTATAAATCTGTCGAGTATTTTAGAAGACAATTGGCTGATTATGGAAAGAGTAGTGTATCTTCTTTTCTGCTAGCTTCAAAGGAAGATAGTAAAATGGCACTTGAGGCATCATTTCGAGTAAGCTATAGAATTGCAAAATCTGGACAGGCACATACAATTGCAGAAAATTTAATTGGACCATGTGCTAAAGATATTGCAAAGTGTATGCTTGGAGAGGAGGAATTAAAAAAAAAATTTGACCAAGTTTTTTTTTGACTCAAGAACTGAAAGTGATTTTTCAAAGCGGCTTTTTGCATTAAAAAGAGGATACTTTAATTAATAATTGGTGATATTTCCATAAGGATCCTTCAAGAAAATAATTTTATAGCGAATTTTGAAAATTATCGATGAAAATTCCAACTTGTAATTTCCAAATTTGACCTAAACATATTTTTATTGATATATTTTGACTAATTTTGTATTCATTAATATCAAAATTTGTATCTAGAAGTATTTTTTAATAAATTTTTTTTTACCAGTCGTAAATTTGACGATGGTTTAGCTTTAACATCACTTTTGAACAGTTTTGCTAAAAAAATTCATTAATTATTTTCTACAATAAAATAATTTATGCTCATTTTTAATCACCACCTATTTACAAATTAATACATCACACGTGTCAAATTAAAAATGTTAATAAACCACCCACTAAACATAAAAAAAGAGAATCGTACATCTACTACTTAATCAACATTTTTTTGCGCAACCATTACTTCAACTCTAATTAGAGAGTGTTGTATACTTGGAGGTGTAAAATCAATGTCACAAAGTATATATTAAAGAAAAAAATTAAAGTGGGATGAAGAGAAAAATGTTGAAAAAAACACACGTGTATTGCGATGTCACGAAGTGTAACGTTATTTTTGCATTCCCGATAGCAATAATAATAATAATCGACTTTCCAAACATGGTCAGTCTAGCGAAAAATAAACACAGAGGGGCCCCCGAATGGACGCCTTCGTACGGCCCTGGAACCCACACCATTCAACACTGCGAATGGTCTACTGCACGCTTACAGCCATCGGTTTCAGTATTCACCGGTAAACTTTACGCGCAACACCTGTTCATTTATATTCGTCCACTCGAATTACTTAAAAATTTAAAGTGTGATGTGAAGAAAATATAAAAATGTCGATTTATCGTTTCGTCAAAGATGATACATCATCAGGATCAAAACGTTTATTTATGCAAGGAACATCTTCAGATGGAACTGTAAAAAGGATTTTAGGACCACCGATAGTTACAAATTTATCAAACCCCCAAGAAATAGAAAATTTACAAGCTGTTTATAAAAAACAAAGATTATCAACTGAAATTTTGGGATCATCTATTGAATCAACAAGAACTAGTAAAAGTAACGATGATGGTACGCGGAGGATAACGACAAGGATTTATCGGAAATTAACAACATTAACACGTGGTGAAGAAAAGAGTGTTACCGAGGATTTGGTGAATAGGGGTAGTTCAAGAAATATCGAAGATAGACGTGAAATTGTTGAATCTAGAGCAATTCGGCCGGTGAAGAAAGTAAAGGTTAGATATGCACTCATATTTCCTTATCGGGGATTGAATTACCTCTTAACTTTCCAATCGGTAAAAGAAAAAAAAATCTTGCGAAATAAAACGGTAGAAACTTTGTTATTTTCGTTTAGACGTTCTAATAGCTTTTAAAAGTCCTTAAAACTATTTATATAGTTTCTATATTTGGAGTATCATTTATCAATTTTTTCATTTAAATTTTATTGGTAATAAATAACAAAATAATTTACTACTGTATTAGTAGTAATATTATTGGTAGCGAACTGGTTATGTCTGAACTAATATGGATAATAAACAACATTAATTAACGTCAAGGATTTCTTGCCTCTCGTATTTATTGATACAATCCCTATTGGATTTGCACTCAATACTTAACTTAGATTGTTGGTTAGTAAATTTACGGTGGTAAACGTGACTCAATCCAATCATCTGACGTCAACAACTTAGTATGGATGGAATCTCTCTCGAAAAACTTTCTCTGCACGTTTTTTATCTCAACAACATCGGTTATATCATCGGTTATTTATGGCTCAAGATCGAAACAATAAATATTGTTTATGATTTTATCATTTACTTATTAACCTTTAAATTTTTAAGGGGATATTTAAATGTCGCGTATTTGCAATCTGCAAGGTGTTGTGACGAAGACGATGACAGCGAACTTGAAATGGTATAATAAATAACCGCAACCTGTTTTGGAAGTTTTCCTTGCAGCAATGCGACATTGACCCACCTACTATAGAGTTAGTGGGTTTCTCCACGTCAAGAAAAAATCTAAACAGCTGACCCACCCACGAACACACACTTTATACACTCTCCAATTTGTTATTCCGAAAGTTATTCGAAACAATGTACATTGTTTAAATACGCAAATACGAGATTCTCCTTTTTTTTTTTTCATTGTAAACAATGAACGGACAAATTCAGGGAAAGTGTTGAACATCTTAACCTAGATATTCAAACAAATCCCTTCACTTAGTTTTTTTTTTCTACAACAAATAGTTTTTGTTTTTAAAAATTATCCGAAAATTATTTTTATTAATTTTGTTTTGTAATTTCTTGCAGATTTCCGATATCGTGGTAGGTCAAGAACCGAACGTTTCCGCTAAGGATTATTTATTGCGTTGGGCAAAACGCACTACAAACAAGTATCCGGGAGTTCGAGTAACCGATTTCACGTCTTCTTGGAAAGATGGACTTGCGTTTAGCGCTATTATTCACAGAAATCGACCCGATTTGGTCGATTGGCGACAGATTAGATCGCAACATGCACGAGAAAGAATGGAACATGCTTTTTATGTTGCCGAAAGAGAATATGGAGTTACAAAATTATTAGATCCAGAAGGTAAGAGTTTTAATATAATAAAATTTTGTTATACTATTTATTGTTTTATACAATTTAAATACGCAAAGATTTCCAGTTGAAGTCGTTGGAGGCAATTAACAATATTCTTTAGTCAGAAATAAAACCCGTTATCAACTTTTTTGACAATATTGCAAATGATTTAGTTCAGAACCACATGCATACTTTAGAGATATGCAAAGTTGACACTGTTATATCTGCTCAATTTCTCGTTTAAGTACACAACCCAGATAGAAGTCAGAGACCTGTTGTGTATTCAAAGGATTTGGCATTCTATCTAATAAAAAAATCTAAGTCTATATGTGGAACATATGCGAGCTTTATAAATAGGTGTATCCGGATACCATAAACTTGGATTTAGTCATTTCTATCATTAGGAATGGTGACTCAAATGATTTTATTGATTATCACTCAATTAGCGTCTCATCGGACGCTTATACATGGGCATGCTCAATTTTGCTAAAACACCATGGACTCATTAAGTTTTGTTTATTGTACTTAAATAAATAATAATATTTACACTTTTAACTAATTGAGTTAAATGTGTTAACCCGGTTCCTCGTTTAGACAGATATAGACATCCAGAACTTGCACTATTACATAACAGTGTTGTATATCACTTCAAACCCGAATTTGAAAAATTACGTTCTACTAATACAATGTGCGCTTGATGCAAAACATGCTACTTATCTGTAAATTTAAAGCAAAAGCTCTATCCACCTATAAAAAACTGTGTCCTCTAATAGGGAACGTAATGGCTACGGATACGAGAGATGTGGCAGTATTAACCAACCAGTATTTCAAGAGTTTGTCAAAAGTTTAGAGACGATGAAGCTATCTCAATACTGCTTATACAAGCCTGATTTTCAACCAAAGAGTAAAAAATTGGGTTTCTTGATTCCAATACTTGTTCTTCTTATAGTGCTTATCCGATCAGGAGGTTGGCAATCACTCTGATTATCACACCCTTGTTTACTGTTGCAAGGAATACTCCTGTTATTATCATTTTTTTTCTCGTTTCTTATTATATGGCCGTGGTATTCGAGTTTGCGAGCTTTTATCGTAGCTATTAATTCGGCATCTTTATTCTTAAGATTCTGCGAGAATTGGTTAATTCAGCCACAAGCGGTGAAGCTCTACAATTAATGTCGTACCGACTACTCAATATTCCAGGACAAATGGTATCATTCATATATAGAGGTGATAAGCACTTTATTTTGGAAGCCACCTCAATCCCTTCCAACTCTGGTATGACACTAGTCTGCTATATACAGGGTAGGATCCAGTACTCTGCCTTGAGGTACTCTTTTAAATCTGAGTATTCATCTTTTTGTTTAACTCTAAAGAGTCTGTCTGAGACGTACGAAGTTAATATCTCTACGTTTGGTTTGTAAACCTAAACCATGACGTTTCGTCTTCTCCGTTATGAAAAGAAAAATAATAAGTTGATGCTGAGGTTGAATTGGGTTGAGGAGCGATCTTGATCATCCTAATTCCGTTACTTTATGTTTAAACGATAACCTGGAAATGACTTTACCTCAACCATGACACCTTGTCTTCATCCGTTAAGACAAAAAAGTAAGAAGTTGATTCTGAAGTTGGATTGGGTTGAGGCTTTACTATATGTATAATGCTTTATGTTTGACCGATGACTAGAAATTGAAGCCGAGGTCGCTTTCGGCTGAGGCTCAACCTCAACCATGACGCTTCGTCTTCTCCGTTATAAAAGGAAAAATAATAACTTGATACTGAGGTTGGATTGGATTGAGCTGCGATCTTGATTATCTTAATTACGTTGCTTTATGTTTAAAGATAACCAGGAAATGAAGCCGAGGTCGCTTACGGCCGAGGCTTTACCTCAACCATGACACTTTGACTTCATCCGTTAAGACAAAAAAAGTAAGAAGTTGATGAGGTTGGATTGGGTTGAGGCTTTACTATAACTATAATGCTTTATGTTTGAACGATGACTATATGGTCTTTTATTAGCGTTATCTGGTTTGCTGCCAGCTACATCTAGTCTTATATTGGCAGGATCTAGTCGCTTATCAATAAATGTGTAATCTTCTGCCAGTATCTATTCTTTTATTAGCAGTATCCAACTCTATATCAGAAGTGTGCAGGTTTCTGCGAGCACTATCTAGTCTTTTATGAGCACTATCTTGTCTTCAGTCAGTAATAGTCTTCTAGTTGCAAGATATAGCTCTTTGCACACGCACAACGCAATGGATGTTCTGCTTGACCTATCTCCTTTGCATTTGCATATAGAGATGAGAATGGTGTTGGTTATTCCACGCTTTTGGTTTATTGTTGAGTGCTTTTGCTAGAATCCAAATTTATAATCTGGCTATTTAGGCTATTTTCTTCTTCTTAATGTGCTTTCTCCATTACTAAAGGTTGGTGATAATTTCGGCAAAATGATTTCTGTGCCCATGCCTGTCCAGTCCCTTGCATTTTTTAACCACGAGGATTTTCTTCACCCCTGGGCTCTTTCTCCTTCCATTATGAGTCCTAGAAAGTTGTATTTTTTTCCCTCTATAAATATGCCCCAGATAACTTATTTTCCGGGTTTTTACCATATTTAAGAGATCTTTGTCAGTTCCCATCCTTCTTAGCATCTTCAGCATTCTTCGAAAAACCCAAAAAGGTGGAATTTGCTAGGCGTTTCTTCATTGTTTGAAAAGCGAATCTGGCATATTCTATATGAGCTCGCACTCAACCTCGTAGTCAAGATCCTGTGTTATCCAGCAACCGAGATATCGAGGAATCTGTGTACCGGTTCTATCTGCTTGTTTATTTTTAAGCCTAAAGTATCTCCTTCCCTGGTCACAACATTCAAAAGTCGTTGCAATCCCTTAGCACTGTCCGTAATAATCATTGTTGAGTTTGATTCCTTCTTCAATATTTTCGAGGCCATTTTAAAAGATTTTTTCAATATTAAATGTCTGAAATATAGCCAATAACTTCGCCATTTGTGGTTTTAAAGAAAAAATGTTTCAAATAAAAGTTTTTTTTATTAATTATGACGCATTTTTGCGATATTTGCTTGTTTGCATTGTTGTTTGTTTCGTTGCTATGGCAACCAACATTGTTATATTAAATGGGATGCATATTTTTTTTGCATTCTTTGATAGGGGATAAGTCCCTCTATGCGATGAACATATCAAATCATATGGTTGTATAAGAAAAAAATCGAGAACAAATGCATTTTTTGAAAGTATTAAATCAGCTAAGTACAATCAAAGCAGGCGCCGAAATAACGCCGTTGACAGCTTTGAATGTCAAAAAATTACAGTTTCAACAATTATGAGTAATTAACGAAACAAAAAAACAATACAAACAAGCAAATATCGCCAAAAAATGCGCCTTGATTAATAAAGAAACTTGTATTTGAAGCATTTTTTTTTAAACCACACATGGCGAAGTTATTGGCTATATTCCAGACATTTGACACACCCTGTATATCGAAGAAAGTACGCACCCTTGAGGCACCCCTCTTCTTATCGACATGTATGTTTTATTAGATGAACGTTTATTTTGATCGATGCCATTTGTTCAATAAGGGCCACATTTTTATAGATCATGTTGTGTTAAGTTTCGACCAGTTCTTGTTTTACTTGATCAAACCCTTTTTTGTAATCGATAAAGTAGAGAAACACGTTTTTGCGTTAATTTCGGCACTTTTGTAGCAGTATCTGAAGGCCAAACAGTGCTTCCCTTGTACCAAGTCCCATGCGCAATCCAAATTAACTGTTTTGCTTAGGTTTTTCTCGCATTCTTTGTATGTGTGTAAGACTCTGAGTAATATTTTCAGGACGTAACTCATTAGACGGACTAACCTAAACTGTGAGCATCTATTTACTTTATTTTTCTTGGGTATGGGTACAAACGTTGATCTGAGCCAGTGTTCTGGGGAGATTCCCGTGCTATATATTTTGTTCATTAGCGGCGTTAAGGTCTAAAGGTTTTTGTAACTTCTGATATTAGTATGTCAAGTATTATTTCTTGCGGTTTTGTTCTTTCGCCATAAAAGAGCTCCTGAAAGTATTTTTCCCATATACATCCTACATCTTCTGGACTCGTTACTATTTGATGGTTATCATCTATTAGAGTCATTGTAGTGAAGCTTTTCTTCATATTTGTGACTTCCTTTACCTTTTTGTATGTATTAAAGTGGTCATGTTTTCTTACTAAGTAATCTAGTTCCTTACATCTGCTGTTCATCCACTCTTCTTTCGCTTTCCTGACGTGTCTTGTGATGATTTTCTGCATTTCTTTATAATAATAATAATTTATTGTCTCCAACAGATTACAATATTACAAAAAAACAACATTATCCATAACTAATCAAAATCCTACCCTTTTCCCCAGCCTCTTCCTGTCTCTCTATGACTCCTTTCTGCCACCACCTGTCTCCAATCCATCACCCCCTCCCTCAAAGCACTACACTCCACCAGCAGATGGTGTAGACCCTCTTCTCATCTTCCCTCCAATATCTGTTGACCCTTTCTTCATTCCCACACCTAACCTTCACTACCAACCTCTTCCCCTCCTTATCCCCCTCCGTCATCAGGTACTTTGGTAGCCCCTTTACTACAATTTCATTTTATTTTGGATTGTACCTGCTTTCTCTTATCGCCGTCCTTCTCTCTTGCATTCCCACATCCCTGTCCCTGCGTTTCTTTATATTTCGCTTTATTTGGATTTTTGTAATATCTTCGAGTTTTCATCAGTTCTAAAATTTCTTCTGACATCCATAAATGTTTTGTAGTTCCTATACTGTCTTGTAATTTTTCTTTTTGTATGGCTGTAATTGTTGTTTTGAAAGCTTGCCAAATGTTTTCGACTGTCTCCTTTGATTCTGTTGGTGGCTGATTACGCTATTTGCTACTATTATTGCCCTCAGTCTTTTTGAGCAGTTGTTATGTTTTGGTTATTTAATAAAATGTCTGTTATATTATAACTGTTTTATTAAACGTTACAACTCTGGCCAGCAATATTAATGTCACGATGACACAAGCCCTGTTGCTGACTTCATAGTGATGCGCCAGTGCTGACAACTTACAAACTGTTATAAGCAGTAGATTCTCGAAGAGTTGTAAGACTAATATCGATAAGTTGTTTTTCTGACTTTGGCAATATGATTACTTCTGCAACTTTCCAGTTTGCCATTAAACGTTTTTGTTTTAGTTAGGTGTTTTAGGATTTTTCCTATGATGAGAATCCTAAAGCCTTTTTATGGACTTAGGTTACTTATTATCTCATCGATTGCTTCTTTAAGAGTAACTGGTGTGGTATTTTCTGTTCATTTTCTTCTCAAATCCACTCACCTTAGTTTTACAGCCAACGAGACTATATTTTGGAGGTATTGCTGAAGAGTATCCAGGGAGATCTTTGGACAACTAAGTTTGAATGCGTTTTAGGCCCACTTTTACCATCCTTCTGATACACTATCTACAGGATAGTTACCATGGTTACGGCGATTTTAAGCGCTTTCATTGACTAAGAGCCGGATTTATCTATCGAATAAATTTATCAAGAGGTGGTAAAAGTGGGCCTTAATAAAGAAAGACGTTAAGTCGAAACACATAGCACAACAACGGAGCTGTTACAGCCCATAATACTTTCTGAACAACCAAATTTGCTTGTATGCTATGTTTTTAGTATACAAGCTAAGAAATTTACTCAACACATTTTTAATTCTGCAGGACATAAATTTAAAAATAGATTAAATAAGCGACGAATATCAAGTAGATTTCCGATTCATTGTTGTTAATAACAATAAACTTTACGTTCATAAATTTTTAATGAAAATTCTCGGTAAAAAATGCATATTTGAATAGAAAAATAGAATAGATGTAAATCAGCATTACCATTTTAATTTTGTTTTTAAACAAAGAACTATTTCTTTGTTTTGTCTCGACGAAGATGGGTTATTACTTATTTGGGTTAAGCAGTGGTTTCACATCGCGACGTGAAGAAACAAAAAAAAAGAATTTATTAAACGCCTCAGTGACCATCACTGGTTTTCTGTATAACCATTTATGGAACCGTACAATACACAGATAATATGTGTCACTGTTTGTTGCGTAACCCTTTGGCATTCTTCTCTCTGTAATTGTTTATATTCGTTTTAACTAGTTGAACGCGACTAGAATTTTTTAACTGACATTGTTCATGATTAAATTTGAATTAAAATATAAATCTAATGGGTATGTGTCATAAACTCGACCGTGACCCGTTGAGAATTTTCTGAATGGTAATGCACTCGTTGGAATTAATTAATGTTGTAGGTATTCGCGTGCAAAGTTATCTTGTTTGAAGTTGTTACTTTTAATTGTGTTGGAACAACGATTTGAAATAATTTTTTTTTGTAGACGTCGATACCCAACAACCAGATGAGAAATCGCTTATTACTTACATCTCGTCTCTGCACGAAGTGTTCCCTGAACCAAATCCAATTCATCCGCTTTACGATGCCGTTTCACAACAAAAGGTTCACGAATATAAAGAACTCGCTTCGTCGCTTCACTTATGGATGAGGGAAAAATACAGTGTAATGCAGGTTTGTATTTATTTAAATTTAGTTTTAAAAAAACTTTAATATTCATTAATTTGTTTAGGATCGATCTTTTCCACCAACTTTAATTGCAATGAAAAAATTAGCAACTGAATCAACAAGATTTAGAACAGACGAAGTCCCACCTAGACAAAGAGATAAACAACATTTAAGTCAATTGTTTAGAGATTTAGAAAAATATTTCCAAACTGTAGGCGAAATTGATATTGAACCGGAACTTCACATAGAAAAAATCGAAAGAAATTGGAACCGATTGATGGTGTCACACCAAGAAAGAGAAAAATACATAATGGACGAAATTAGGCGATTAGAAAGATTACAAAGATTGGCAGATAAGGTTCATAGAGAAATTAAACATTCCGATGCAGCTTTAGATAATATTGAACATATGATTGAAGAGGAAAGTCATAGAATCGAGCGAATTCATCCATTGGAAGCGAAAAAGATAGCGGATCATATCGATAAAGATTTAGAAGTGGTCGAGCAAAATATCCAATCTTTATTCAACGATGTACATACGCTTTTAAGCGCGAGATATCCTCAAGCGCCGGAACTAGATAAACGAGTTAAAAAACTTCACGCGCGTTGGGCGGATATGAAGAAACTTTTAATACAAAAAATCGCTCAACCTCTAGCCAATCTTCGATTTCCAATCGAAGAAAAAACCGTCACAAAACACGTTCGAACCGTGCAAGAAGTTAGAAACGTCGACACCAACCCTCATTTTAGAACGTTACAAGATTGCATCGAATGGTGTAGAAACAAATTGAAACAATTACAAGATGCCGATTTTGGAACTGATTTACCATCGGTACAATCGGAGCGAAATATTCATTTAAGAGAACACTCAATTATCGATCAGTACCATACTAAAGTTGATAGTTGTGTTAGAGCGAGGCAGAACTTTACTGGCGAAGAACTGTCTTTGTATAACCAACATTTAAGCACTTTACAAAAAGTTTACACCGAATTATTGGCGTTTTCTAATAATCGAATGAGCGATTTAGATTCGTTACTTGACTTTATCCAATCTGCCACCAACGAACTGCATTGGTTAAATGAAAAGGAAGAAGTTGAAGTTACCAGAGATTGGTCTGAGACTAATATGAATTTACAAACTGTCGAAAAATATTACGAGGTAAGAAAATTAAATTAAAATTGTTGTTTATGAGTAAGGTGGGGAAGATTTTTCATTGATGGTTAATTAAGTATCAATAAAATACATATTGCTTAAATTAAAAGGTATAGAAAACTTGGGAGATACATCGTAATATCACATGATACCATTTTGACAGGCACCAAGAAGCTTTTTCCATTTTTGACATCCTTCAAGCACTTCCAAGAAACGTCAAAAACATCATTTTTCATTTTTTTCGGTCAAGTTAAGTACTCTAAAGTTGTTTCTAATAAATCAAAACCGTTTTGATCAATATATCGCATATTCTAAAATCTTTGAATTTTCTGGAAAACATCTCCTTTGACGTTATTGACGTTATTAGTCTTTGTCAAATAGTCTCTAAGTGTTTTCAGTTGATTAGTATCACTTTGTAGCTTCTTTATATTTTCTCGAATATTTGAAAAAAAATTTTATAACATTTTGTGACATATCATAAAACTGGTCTTCAGAGGTCATCCACTTCTTAGCTTTCCTGTCGAAATCAACAGCTACATCTTTTTTCAGAAATATATTCTCGCCCATTCTGTTCAAATACACATGCCATGTCAACCTTTTCTTCTGATTTCTGTCTATTGTATCACTATCTATGCCTGATTTCATTATTTCTTTAATGGAACTATTTGTAATGTGATGAAGTGTAAATATTCTGCAACTTCGTCGGAGAACGTCCATTTCTAAGACTTGTAGCCTCTGGTCAAATTATTTTGAAATCCTAGAATATTGGTGTATTCTGCGTTTAGTGCAGTTCCTTATTTCTTTAGACCACAACAGATTTATTCTATAAGCTATATCCCTCTCACAATTTGGTGTCTTACTGAATGGTAACAATCAATATCCAAGTGTTCTGTGTCTGCTCCCGTCGTTAAGTATTTTGTCTTCGCTTTGTTTATTTCAAGCTCCCATAATTAGGATTCTGCTTTAAGTTTCCATGTCATGTCTGCTACATCTTCTCTATCTGCAGCTACAACAACTTGGTTGTCTCCAAACAGTAAAGTGTATAAAAAAAGAGTCATTTATCTGTACTACAACATTCAAGCAAATCCTTGTCTAATGTTTGGTTGCATAGGATAAATGCAAGATATTGAACAGAGTAGGCGACAAACAGCATTCGTATAAGAAGCCTTTAGTAGTTGGAAAACTTTAAGACTTTAATATACTAATAAATCATTTTGATTCACACCAATCAAATTTTTCCTTATTCTAGAGGTATTAAAAATGTTGGAAAACATCCCTTTTAGTGTTATTAACGTCTTTGTCCTGTGTTAAATAACTTCAAAGTGTTTCCAATCGACTAGTATCATTTTGACACACACCAAGAAGCTTTTTCCATTTTTGACATCTTTCAAACACTTCCAGAAATCGCCAAAAACATCTTTTTTAAATTTTTTCCTTCAAGTTAGCTACTCTAAAGTTGTTTTTAATAAATCAAAACCATTTTGATTGACACTAGTCAATATATCGCATATTCTAAAATTTTTAAAATTTCTGGAAAACATCTCCTTTGACGTTATTAACGTTATTAGCCTTTGTCAAATAATCTCTAAGCGTTTCCAGTTGATTAGTATCACTTTGAAACTCACCAGAAAGTTTTGTCCTACTTCTAAGCTTCTTTATATTTTCTCGAATATTTGAAAAATTTGAAATTTTTTAACATTACATGCTTCATTTTGTGGCATATAATAAAAGTGGTCTTCAGACGTCATCCACTTCTTAGCTTTCCTGTCCAAATCAACTGGCAGATCTTTTTTAGAAATCTATTCTCGCCCATTCTGTTGAAATGCACATGCCATGTCAACCTTTTCTTCTGATTTCTGTCTATTATATCACTATCTATGCCTGATTTCATTATTTCTTTAATGGCACTATTTGTAATGTGATGAAGTCTAAATATTCTGCAACTTCGTCGGAGAACGTCCATTTCTAAGACTTGTAAACTCTGGTCAAATTATTTTGAGATGCTATTATATATACTAATTCTGCGTTTAGTGCAGTTTCTTATTCCTTTAGACCACAACAGATTTATTCTATAAGCTATATCCCTCTAACAATTTGGTGTCTTACTGAATGATTAAATTGAAGCAGGAGAATGATAACAATCAATATTCAAGTGTTCTGTGTCGCTCCCTACGTTAAGTATTCTGTCTGCGCTATGTTTTTCTCAAGATCCCATAATCAGGATTCTTCTTTAAGTTTACATGTCATGTCTGCTACATCTTCTCTACCTGCAGCTACAACAACTTAGTTGTCTCCAAACAGTAAAGTGTATAAAAAAGAGTCATTTATCTGTACTACAACATTCGAGCAAATCCCTGTCTAATGTTTGGTTGCATAGGATAAATAGATATTGAACAGAGTGGGCGAAAAACGGCATCTTTGTTAGTTGGAAAACTTTCTGACATGGGTTGGAACTTTCTGACATACAGTTCTTTTATAGTTCTCACATAGTTCCATACTTCAAACGATTTGCCTCCTTCTGGTCTATGAAAAATAAATTTGTTTCCCAATTCCTGCCATAGTATTTTTCTATTAATTTTCCCAAACAGAATATGCTTATATATATATATATGTTTATTCGTGCATGACCTACTAGCCCTAAAACCATTTTGTTGGTCTATATTGCTCCATTCATTTTCCACCCATACTGGAAAACATTCCTTTTAGTGTTATTAACGCGTTTGTCCTGTGTCAAATAACTTCAAAGTGTTTCCAATCAACTAGTACCATTTTGACACACACCAAGAAGCTTTTTCCATTTTTGACATTTTTCAAACACTTCCAGGAAACGTCAAAAACATCGCCTTTGCCGTTATTAACGTTATTAGTCTTTGTCAAATAGTATCTAAATGTTTCCAGTTGATTAGTATCACTTTGAAACACACCAGAAAGTTTTCTCCTGCTTCTAAGCTTCTCTATATCTTCTGGAATATTTGAAATATTTTCAAAAATCATCAAAATCATTTTTTTTCTAATTCTTTCTTCGTCGCTCAGCATTCTAAATGCGTTTTTAGTCAATTACAACAAATTTTAATGTACACCAATCAGCTTTTTCCATATTTTAATGTCATTGAATATTCTGGAAAACATCCTCTTTAACGTTATTCATGTTTTTAGCCTATATCATATTGCTTTTTGGTGTTTAGAATTGATTAGTACCATTTTAACATACACCAAAAAGCTTTCTCCTGCTTCTAAGCTTCTCTACATTTCCTGGAATCATGAAAAATTTTCAAAAATCATTGTTTTCTAATTCTTTCTTTGTCGTTCAGTATTCTAAAGACGTTTTTATACAATTACTACAACAATTTTCACTAATCAGCTTCTTTTATATCATTGAATATTCTGGAAAACATCCTCTTTATCGTTATTAATGTTTTTAGCCTTTGCCATATAGTCTATTGGTGTTTAGAATCGATTAGTACCATTTTGACACACATCAAAAAGCTTTCTCCTGCTTCTAAGCTTCTACATATCTTCTGGAATATTTGAAAAATTTTCAAAAATCATCAAAATAATTTTTTTGTAATTCTTTCTTCGTCGTTCAGCATTCAAAAGACGTTTTTAGTCAATTACAAGAATTTTAATTTACACCAATCAGCTTTTTTCATACTTTAATGTCATTGAATTCATTCTGGAAAACATCCTCTTTAACGTTATTAATGTTTTTAGCCTTTTTCATATAGCCTCTTGGTATTTAGAATCGATTAGTACCATTTTGACACACACCAAAAAGCTTTCTCATGCTTCTAAGCTTCTCTATATGTTCTTGAATATTTGAAAAATTTTCAAAAATCATCAAAATCATTTTTTTGTGATTCTTTCTTCGTCGTGCAGCATTCTAAAGACATTTTTAGTCAATTACAACAATTTTAATTGACACCAATCAGCTTTTTCCATACTTGAAAGTCATTGAATATTCTGGAAAACATCCTCTTTACCGTTATTAATGTTTTTAGCCTTTGTCATATAGCCTCCTTGTGTTTGGAATCGATTAGTACCATTTTGACACACATCAAAAAGCTTTCTCATGTTTTTAAGCTTCTCTATATCTTCTGGAATATTTGAAAAATTTTAAAAAGTGTTCAGAATCTTTTTTTCTAATTCTTTCTTCGTCGCTTGCTATACTGGAGATGTTTTTAGTCGATTACAACAATTTTGATTCACACCAATCAGCTTTTTCCATACTTTAAAGTCATTGAATATTCATTGCAGTCATTGCATTTTCTGGAAAACATCCTCTTTAACGTTTTCTATGTGTTTTGCCTTTATTAAATATACTCAAAGTATTTCCATTCAATTAATATCATTTTATGATACACCATCAAGCTTTCTATGTCTAAATCATCAACGATAAATCTGACCTAAACACACCGTTTTTTTGGCAACTAAAATTCGCGAAACTTATTCGACTCAGGTTGCCCAAAAAAAAAGCATTTATTTAATTTTTATCTCTAAATTTTCTAATTTTCAAGCATAATTATGGATCTGGCGATGAGGTAGATTAATCTTTTTGTTCAATTTCTTAACACAGTTTTTGATATGCTTTGTTTATTTGTTTTTCAGTCATTAATGAGTGAATTAGAGAAACGTGACATCCACTTTGCCGAAATTCAACATCGCGGTGAAAATCTAGTCATTCAAAGTCATCCTGCAAGTAAAGCTATCGAAGCTCACATCGCCGCCGTTCAAGCACAATGCGCTTGGCTCCTCCAATTAACTCATTGTTTAGAAGAACACATGAGAAATGCGCATAATTATCAATCATTTTACAAAGATATTAACTCGGCGGAACAATGGGTAAAGGAAAAAGACGAAATAATGAACACCGAATTTAGCCAGGGAGATTTTACTTTAGACCAAGGAGAATCACTCTTGCAAGGAATGCAACTTCTCAGAGATGAATTAAACGCTTTCGGGGATCAAATCCAAAACTTAACGGTTCGTGCGCAAGAAATTGTGCCTTTAAAACAAAGAAGACAACCAGTTACAAGACCAATGGATGTTATTGCTGTTTGCAATTACAAAACAAATAATTTTGCCATCGAAAAAAATAAAAAATGCGTTTTAATCGATAATTCTGGACGCATAAAATGGAGAGTTCAAAACAGTAAAGGAATCGAAGAATCCGTTCCTGGCGTTTGTTTTGTTATTTCACCACCTGATAAAGAAGCGCTTGATGCAGTTGAAAGACTTCGTCGACAATACGAACGATCTTTAGCTTTATGGCAAAAGAAACAATTAAGAATGAGACAAAATATGATTTTCGCAACAATTAAAGTTGTAAAAGGTTGGGATTTACCTCAATTTATAGCAATCGGTGTTGACCAACGAAATGCAATTAGAAGAGCTTTAAACGAAGACGCCGATAAGCTTTTTGCAGAAGGCGATCCATCAGATCCGCAATTACGAAGGTTACGCAGAGAAATGGACGAAGTTAACCGTTTATTCGATGAATTTGAAAAACGAGCAAGAGCAGAAGAAGAAAGTAAAAATCAAACAAGGATTTTTAACAATCAAATCTCGAATCTTCAGCGCGCTTTAGACGAAGCTGAAAGAGTTATAAATCAACGCGTGCTTTCACCAATTCCAAGAGATGTTGATACTTTAGTACATCTTTTCAGGGAACATAAAGAATTCGAATCGCGCCTTCAAAATCTCGAACCCGAGATTGAACAAGTTAAAGATACCTTTAGAAGTATCACGTTGAAAACACCGCAACATAAAAAAGATCTTGAAAAAGTTCTCGATAAATGGCAATACATTTGGAACACAAGCAAATTATATATGCAACGTTTAAGATGTTTAGAAATCGTTTTAAATGGAATGGAAGAAGCGGCCCAAACGATTTCCGAATTTGAGAGCAAATTGAGTTATTCCAAAGAATTACCTTCAACTGAAAAAGCTTTGGAAGCGATTCACGATGATTTATTAAAATTACAATCGGCAGTTGGACAACATCAAATGACCATGGATCAATTAAATGATGATTTTGATAATGCCAGGAGGTTAACGGAAAAATCTAGACCGAATCAACGTGGTCCTCATTCTGATGTTGAAAGATTGGATAAAGAGATGCAAAAATTAAATAATCGATGGAATAATATTTGCGCTCAATTAGCGGACCGTATGAAAGGTTGTGAACAAGCGTATGGGTTATTAAAGAATTATAATAAAGCTAAGGAGGGTGAAGATTCTTGGATTGACGAACAATATGGAAAATTGGAAAATCTTGCTCCAATTAAAGATAGAGCTAAAGATCATTTAGAAGCAACAAGGGTAAGATTTTTTAATATTTTTATTATCCTTTATTGTTAGTTTTAGTACATAACTTACTAATTCCCTCTCCCTCATCACCTTCGCCATACACTATACAGGATGTCCCATATCTTCCGCATCAGAGCATTATATGGTTGAAGGATACATTATTCTGAAGCGATTTTTCTAATAAAATTTTTCCGAAATGTTTATAATAACCACACGGGAACTGTTTAAAGTCGTCAAATAGCGATTCACTTCAGTGGCGGAAAAAGTTTATTTCTCTTTCCGTGTCGAATCTATTGGTATAAATTAGTACGGTGATTGCTTGAGTGTCATTTACGATCTCCGACGGCGTTCCCCTAAGCTTTTGTTGAATGAAAAATTTTATTAGAAAAATCGTTTCCGAATAATGTATCCTACAACCGTATAATGCTCTGATGCGGAAGATACGGGACACCTGTATACCACCCTACCTTAAATCATCCCACCTCAGCATATATTATGATCTTGTTTTTTAATCATCCCCACACAATTTAGAATGTCGTCTCCTCATCCCCCACCCAATATTTATTCACTCTCTCTTCATTCCTTCACCTAAAACTCTAACTCATACTTTTTTCTTCGTCATTAAGACGACATATTTATTTTTTATCTCCCCTTTTCCACCTGAGAACGGCGTTCTTGTTTTTCCGCGTCTCTATCTCTACCCTTCAACTCCTTCCACAGTGTTCACCCTTATTTTCTTCTTCTTCTTTGTATTTCCTCTGTTGAGTATCCCACTTTGATATAATATTCTCTTCTTTTACTCCCCACTCCAAACTTAACCTCCCTCCAACATTCTTTCAAAATCTTAAAGTCGCTCCTCTGCTCCAGTCCATCCTCGCTCTTTATTGCCCTTCAACTTGCTTCCACCTACATTCTCCAGCTTCAACTCCTCTCTCACTATACAGGGTGAGTCAATAGTGCGGAGATGGAAAATAGTGGCTTTATTGTTGAAAATTTAAAAAAATGTGTTTATGTTATATATTACCATCAAAGCTGCATCGATTAAAAATATTTTCAGCTATACAGGGTTGTTTCTATACAGGGTGTCACACGTAACTGGTTCGCTAGAACTTTTTCAGGTTCCACTATTCGTAGAGATTTGAAATTTTGGTAGCATGAGTTGTTCATTCGGAACTTTCGATTTAAAATATTTTCAAGATTGCCGCCACTTCCGGTCTACCAGAGGTAGACCATAACTTCGTTTATTTTAAATGGAATGCTATAGCTTTTTTTTATTACACCGTTTAATTGTACGTAAAAAAATAGGTTGACTTTGATAAAAGTTATTGGTACCTAGCGTTTTTCGTTTTCGAGTTATTTTGGTTTTAAGCTTTTTTTGATAAATTTCAACTTGCTCTTTAAAACCCTATATCTCAGCCAACGTTCATTCAAAAAAGATATACATTGCCACGATTACTCTTCAGATGCTGTCAAATAGATTGTCATTTGTTGTATCGGAGTATCTTATACAGTATGGTCAAAAATTGAGTTACTGTTTCTCCATATTCAATGGCGAGAAAATCGAAAATTTTAAATGGAACGCCCCATATTTTTTTAGCCTATCAGAAAGAAAATTTAATTGTCTACAAATTATCTATAAGCATTCATATACCTATTTATTGTAGTTTGCCTCATATTGGGACAATTTATTAAAACATGCACGAAATGCAGGTTTTTTTATTAGAAAGCTATGGTATTTTGACAGTTTTTGGTCCATGTTTATATTATTGTTGCCATTAGTTACATTTGACGACATGTCTAGTCATTGAACATCAAGGCAAATTATTCCAAGGCCGATATTTAAAATTTATTTTGTATTGATGGTGAATGTAATAAACTGTTGGACAGGACGTGTCGAACACTTAATGAGATATATATAAGATTTTCTTAGTTCTGGACATATCAAGACCAAAAGAAACCGCATATTTCCGGTCACCAGCGATGAAGACAACGAAATAAATATTTTATCGTATTTTATGGCATTTCCAAATTCAATTTAATAACAAATTTATACTATAAATTTATATTTTTATCCAAATCTAATTTTTGTCATTAATTTTTTGTTTTAATTATTTCATTTATTTGATCTTCTGTTTGTTATTTTTGGTAAGTAAAAGCTAGTAAACTAAATGATTATCAATCGTGGTTAATAGTACAAATAATAATAGAAATAAATTAAACGAAAAACTGTCAAAATGTCATGGCCTTTTAATAAAAATACAAAAGGTAAGATATGTATAAGATACTCTGATACTCCGGTAGACCGGAAGTGGTAGCCATCTTTAAAGTATTTTAGATCGAAAGTTCCGAATGAACAACCCATGCTACTAAAGTTTCAAAACTTTACGAATAGTGGAACCTAAAAAAGTTCTAACGAACCAGTTACCTGAGACACCCTGTATATCACGGATCATCCCTGTTTATCCTCATGATCCACTCTTATGTTCCTTCCATCCTCATATTTCCGTTCTATACATTATCGCACTCCTCACCAATCAAACAAACATTATTTTCCGCCTGCACAAATCTTTTCCAAATATTCTTTCTCCCCAGCTTTATATCTGCCAATAATCTACTTGCCTTTATAACTCTATTGAAAGAGTTATCCATGTTGCAAGATTAATAATCAAATAAAAACCATGTAAAAAACTTCTAACTTGCATTTATTTATATAAAGTCGTACTTGTTTCGAGTTACCCAAGGATAAAAGAGAAATAGAGAAGATACTGTCTTAGAGTCTGCGAGACTGTCTCATCCCATCTCATCTCAGTCTCGCCTCATCTCATCCCACCAACACATCTTCTTAAAGATTTACTCGATTTTCTAATTTTTAACATTCTACACTTTTTAACGTCGCCATTCCTGTTTCATATTTTATCTTCATTTTGTTTATCCATCAGATAGCAAAATGCTTTACTTTCATTTGATTTGCAGTCTACACCTATTATAGCTTCAATGACTTTGTCGCTGATGATGTGGTAACCCGAAACTAGTACGACTTTTACATGGTTTTTATTTTATAACTCTATGTCTAATATGACCTCCCATGCCATTATGCAAAATTCCCAGAAAGAAACAAAATCAATAACGTTCTATTCTCTGAAAGCAATAGTTATTCACGGGTTGATATTTGCAAGCAGTGGCGTATCTTTAAATTTTCCACATTATTTCTCGAATATTTTTTGCACTTTTGGTGAATATCTCGGAAACTAATTAATGGATTTTAGCAGCAAGCTTTTGTTGTGAAAAATTAAGTTATAAAAAAAATAACGTCAATTTTTTTGAAAAAATAAACCAGGTAATAAAAAACGAAACAAACAAAGAAACTTTTATCTACAACTATTGAATTATCTATTCGTTATACATTTTATTTTTGACGAGTAATGACACGCATTACTCGCATGACTGACAAATGTTGAATAATGAGGTCATTATTCCACAGTTCTGACACGACCTACTAATCAAAATATAAAATATAACAGAAATGGCAGCTTTCTTATATTGAGGTTATGTCTGAAATGTCTATCAAGCTTTTTTTTTTCAAAATTAAATAGTTGTAGATAAAGTATAGTATTCAACTTGCGTATAATGGATGTTACCCACTCAGATTACTGTGTTCCATCTCCTTTTTCAGCTTTTTGTTCAGTATACTTGCATATACAGGGTGTTTCTGTAAGTCTTGGCATAATTTTGATCACAAATACCAGATTGAAAATGATGACGATTCGTGTAAAAATTTTTGATCTAAACCCATAAATGGCTAAGATATGAGCTTGCAAAATTAAAAAATGTTCAAACATTTTTTTTAAATATTTTCAATATGGTTTGTCTTATTGTCAGAAAGACTAAATTTGGCAAACAGTGCAATGTTATCATAAGAAATTGTTTAAGATCACTATTGAAAATATCGCACCACGGGATCAATGCTGTACAGGATGTTCACAAAGATTATTTCTTTAAAACTTGTTTATTATTGGATTTTGTGGCAGATTGTAGTACTGCTAGTACTGTTGATAGCAACAGTTTAGACATTTCAGAATATATAAAGGTATGTCGAGAGTACAAGTATTGAAAATTGCTGATCATCCGCTGCAAGTACAGTGTTGCCATACTATGATGGAAAAATGTACTATTGATGCTGAATTTTTAGAAAAAAGTACTTTTTACAGATTAATTTGAGAAATGCTGAAGAATAATTGTGCTGAAGAAAATCCAGCTTTTATGCTACATTGAGTAATAATTTGACAGATTTCTTTTAAATGAACTTAAATCTTTTTAATTTAGAGGCAACAAAGGTTTTTTGTGAGGTTTCCACTTTTACTGGTTAGTAATAAATCTTGTATTAAATATAATACGTCTCTTTATTTACATGTTTCGCCTGTCCTAGCCAGCATCTTCAGAATAAGGAGTAAAGTACAAGTTGAAAATAAAATTCAAAAACAAACATAAACAAAACATTCTTTACAATCTTATTTTCAACTTGTACCTTACTTTTTATTCTGAAGATGCCTGCTAGGACAGGCGAAACATGTAAATAAAGAGACGTATAATATTTAATACAAGATTTTTTTACTAACCAGTAAAAGTGTTTTGTGAATAACTCAAAAACGATGCGTCTAATCAAAAATTTGTAAGAATAAAAATAATTTTAGAATGAAATAGGCTTTTAGAATCAGTTGGAAAATTTAATCTGTTGCGACATAATAAAAAAGTTTTAATGAAATAACCTTTGTGAACACCCTGTGTAGCATTGATCCCGTGTTTACATATTTTCAAAAGTGATCTTCTTAACTCAATCATCATGATTTTGACTCTAGTATTTGTGATTAAAATTATGTCACGACAGAAACACCCTGTATTCTATATACAGTATCCAACAGGTTTATCTCCCTATAAGTTTGTGTAGATTCTTTCTTCTTTATTGTAAATTGGGCATATGATTCCGACCCTCCACTACCTAGGCCGGCCTAGGGAATTCCTCGCCCCTCCAAAATTTATTCACAGCTTTCAGAAATATCTCTACAATGTCCTATGTTGCCTCGAGCCATGCCTCATTCTGTAACTTATCCTCCCTTGCCACCTTTCCTGTCTTCAACTGCGTCAGCATCCTCACTAATTCTTTCATCTCGATTTATCTTTTCTTCACACTCCTCTCCACATCTTTCCTTTGCCGGTCTTCATACCCTTCCAGCAATTTCATGAAATGATCTTTCCAACTATTCATAGATTATTTGTTATGTACGGATTTCTGACTCTTCCCTTTGATTTTTTCTCTTCTGCTTTGCTCTACATACCTCTTCATATTTCCTTCTTTCTTTCCTGTATTAATCCTCCGACGTGTTACTTTTTTCCACCGTCTATGTCTACCCTTATATTCTATCTTCACCATTGCTTCTTTCATTACCTTGAATATCACATCCATACTCTCCGTGTTATCTTCAATTAATAGTTTTTCAATCTTTCTTTGTACTTCTCTCCTATGTTCCGACCAGTCGTACCTTCTCACCTGTCTTTCAAATCAACTTCTAAAGATTGGTGATCTGAATCCACAGATTATCACAACCTGGCTCCTATGTTTTCTGATCCACGACCACATAATCAATCACCATTAATTACTCCTCTTGCCCCAGTATAAGTGGAGTACACTTATCTCCTTCTTCCTTATTTCCGTTCAAAATCTCCCATCCCTTCTCGTCTATCCATCACAACAGTTCTCTACCTTCCTTGTTCTTTAATGTATCTTTTGACCATAGCTTCCTTCATCTTCACAGATATCCTTTTCTTACCACCTGAGTCAACCCATCCATCTTCATTTCTGTCTTTACCACATCCTTACTTTTCCAACTATTTTCTATCAGCAACGCCATCTCTTCTTTACCCTCTGTATAAATCTACCACTCGCCCTCCCTTTCTTCCTATCTTTTCTGCATACTGACAGTTCCATTTACAACCTTCTCAACTCTCTTTCACCAGTCTCTTCTTTACCCCCTGTTATAATTCCACCACTCGTCCCTTCCTTTCTGCCTATCTTCTCTGCATACTGACTGTTCCATTTACAACCTTTCCAACTCTTTTTATAACCTTTCCAACTCTCTTTATTACCTTTCCAACTCTCTTTATAACTTTTCCAACTCTCTTTCATCAGTAACACCATCTCTTCTTTACCCCCTGTTATAATTCCACCATACTGACAGTTCCATTTACAACCTTCCCAACTCTATAACCTTTCTAACTCTCTTTCATCAGTAACGCCATCTTTTTTTTGCCTCCCATTATAATTCCACCATTAGCCCTTTCCTTTCTTCCTATCTTTCCTGGCAAATCCTGTTTAATTCTATTCTACCCCGCTTTATCTACCCATGTTTTTTTTTTAATATAACTGAAATTTAATGTTGTTATTTAGAATCTTCTGAATAGCGTCGTTGAAAGAGCCCCACAAATTGAAAAGGTTAACGTAAATGGTGGAAAATTCATCCGCGAAGGAAAGGTATGATTAATTATTTACAATAAAAAACCTTTTTTTCTTTAGTAAGTCGAAATATCTATTAAGATGTTATTTTTAAGTACGAATGATTTCTGTATGATTGAAAAATTATTTCATGTTCCATTTCACCCTCATTCTCACATCTCTATTTCACGTTCTTTAATTTTGAAGTAAAAAATAAAAATCTGTAGACGTAGAAATTTAATACAACTAAATGCAACAAAAATATATTTTTTTCCGCATAATAAAACTAAACTTTTTTTCCGGGGGAAGAAAAAAAGGTGGTTGGTTTACTTTAATTCTTGTTTAAATTCGCCGTTTTACGTCTCTTCCAAAAACAGAATCAATTTTTAATTATTGCACTTTTTTAATCGCTTTTAAGCACACAAAAAACTTTTTGGTGATTTGCAAATCTTTCCTATATATTTTTTTTATTCGTGAGAAACTTATTTTGGAAGAGATTTTTTTCGTAAAAGCATCACCATTTAGTTTTAATAAAAATAGTTTTAGTATTTAATTTTTGAAAATATTATTCCTCCAATGAAAATAATCCCAAAAAGCACTGACAAGAACTAACAAAAACCTAACACATCTCTAACCCTAACACCAGATATGGAGCAAAGGGCTACAACGTTTCCGGGAGAGTCTTTTGGAAGCCCAACCATCGCTGGATGCTTCTGTGGCGTTTAGGGAGAAACCTTCAGGACCTACAGGTGCAGATATTGTTGCGAGTGAGCTGGACGTTTTTAACGAAAAGTATCAATATTTGGTCGACACACTTTATTCGAGGTTAAAGGAAATTGCTGCTAGATGTCCTGGAGATATCGTTACTTTGGTAAGTTTTAACTCATAATAAAAAATAAAATTAGGAGATGTGCTTCAACAAAGCGGAAAATAAAAGAATTTAAACTCAATTAATTTCGATATCAATGAAATTTTAATCTTTGACGTTTTCAAAATGTTGCTAAAACCGGCGATTATTTAATAAGATTGTAATTAAATGGATGATGACATAGAATGTTTATTTTGTTTTGTTGGATAAAGATTAAATTGTATCTCGTGTATCAAGATTATTATATTTATAGTAATGACCAGTAGCTAAAAGTAAGTATGTTTTTGTCGTAAAGAAATAAATCGATAAAAAATCAAATTTTTTTTACATTTCAATTAAAAAATGTTGCCATCTTTATTTTTATACAATGACATATCGGTTTAGAAATAAAACGAGTTCTAGTAATTTCAGGTATTTGTTTAATGGCGCTCTATGGTAATATTATGTGTTGGTTTGATTCTATTTATAGACGATTATCTCATGCACAGTTACGTTTATATAAAGCTACTGGTAGGGGTTTTTTCAATTAGAAAATTGCCATTCACTAGATGATAATAAATTATACTCTTTGAAGACTTGGAATGAGTGTAGGTGATTTTCCCAGAATTATATACACCTCATTAAAGAACTTTATCAAAATTTATTGCAATTTCAAAATGTACGAAGAGATTTATAATGATGCTTATTATCTTCATCAGTATCTTGCGGTTATCTTCATTACTTATAGTTTTTATTGAACGTAGTCTGAATATACAATAACATCCAAAATTCAGGATGTATACATTAAGAGATGATACTTACAACATATTATCTATGATTGCGATTTCTGTATTCTAATTAGAGCTGAGGTGATAATAAATCTTCACGTTTTGGAGCTCCAAATTATTCTAATGATTTATGCATAAAGTCCTGGTGTAGGTCTTTTTATAAAGTCTTTAAATTAAAGATGAGGTTACAAATTGTATGGAAAAGAATGTATAGCATTAAAAGTTGATTAAAATTATATGAGATATTCGCGATTGATTTTTTTCTGATCAATTTAGCTTGAACTGTATGGTATTCCTCATAATCACTAAGACATTTTTAACCAAGCTTTTCTAAAATTTCTGCAAATTTCTAATTGAGCATAATGTCTGATTAATTTAATTGTAATTGCATGATATTTTCCATCAACTATACAACAAATAAGGAAAGAAAATTATTTTTGTCATTTTTTGTGATTTTAGAAAACAAGTTTTTCTTGAATTTTTGCAAATTTTGGGTTGATCAGAATTTTTTCACCATTTCCCAAGCATTAAATATTGAAATAATCCTTCTGCCATGTCCTAATTATTAACACAACTAATTTTCCTTAAATTTTTGCAAATTTTAGAGTTCCTGATCAATTTAGTTTTTTCTCCACGAGTACTTTAACATCTCCAAAACATCAAACATTGGAAAAATACTTTTACCATATCCTATTTACTTGGACAACCAATTTTTCTTGAATGGTTTTCTTGCAAATTTCGGTTGAGACTTATTGTCTTCAACATTCTGTATTTCTTAAGCGTTGGCAAACAGCTCACCTATTCTTGTTTATATTATCATGATTCTAAGAAAATAATTGCTATGAAATTTCTGCAGTGTCTTTATCCTTCATCTTTTGGATTTAGCTTAGATACACAGGATTTTATTTATCATCTTCGTGATCGTTGTTGGACATTTGTATTTCATGACTCATTCCATTTTGTCATATTTCAAAGAGACCCAACCCAAGCCAATATTTGTAATATAAGAACAACTTCTTTCTGAATTTGATGATCTCAATTAAGAAGATGATTTGTTCGAAAGAGACCCAAAGAATGCCAAATAAAGGATTGTGGAACATAAGTAAGCTCCACGTGAAATAGTTCCTTCTGTATCTGCAATTTTGAAAAAAACTCCAAATATGATATGAGTCTATGAAAAAAATATCACCAACATTAATATGGACACTTCGGAAGAATAATCAGAAGAAATTATTATATTAAGGGTGGAATCCTTATTCTGGCTTCGAGTTATTTGATTGTATGCAGGAACAACTTCAAATTGTTCTAGCATTAATACACGTTCGGGATGTGTCGATATTCCTTGAACTTTCAGAACATAGAGAACTAAAGAACTAAAGAGTTGTTTCTCTTTCATTTTTGCAGTCTCGTTAACTATCCTAGAATTTTAATCGATTAGCATCATTTTGACATACATCAACAAGCTTCTTATATTGTTTATTATCTTTGAAACATCTTCAAAACCCTTCAAAACAAATTTTGTTTAATTCTATCGACCTCATTAACATTCTAGAGATGATTCTAATTGATTCGCACCATTATGACATTCATCAACAAGCTTTTTCTATTTTTTAGTATGTTTGAAACACTCAAAAATCACCAAAATCAATTTTATTTAATTCTACCATCCGGATTAAGTATTCTAGTGACGTTTTTAATCGATAATGCCATTTTGACATTCATCAACAAACTCATTCTATTTTTTAGTATGATCTCAAATCTTTCAAAGACTCTACCCTGCTGGGTCCGTATTCTGTTTAAGAGTTGATCAGGTTCTGCATGGTAAATCAAAACCAGGGGGCTTTTTGGTAATACATGGTATTCTTCATTTGTGGCAGTACCTACTTTTAGTTTTGGTCAGTGGGTTTCTGGATCGGAGTGAGGTGTGGTTGGAGTCCTCAATCTCCACGCGTATTTGGTAGTTTTTGGTTTTTAGCTTAGTTGAAAGAGAAATTAAAGAAGAATGTGAAGAAATATATTATGAAAGATGGCAATGTGGTATCCTAGGAAAAGATATTTGAAATTTTGACACAGAAAGGCAGTAATCCTGAAAGTGTAGTAAAATTGAGAATCCATTCGCAAAAGATTTATTAGTCAGTAACCACTTTGTTCTTGGCAGATGATTATTGCCGGAACGCATTGGTATTAAAAGACGTTTGTGTTTAGCATAATTTATGTATTAATGTACTCATGAGATTTCATGGCAATCAAGAATTTGATTTAAAGTGTTTTATTATCGCTCTCCATCTGTACCTGTTGCTATTATAGATCAACCCAACCCGAATACTGCAAGATTACAAGCAGAGCAACTCATTAGCACTCAACCAGCAGATGGTGTAGACTCCCATCCCTCCCTTCACAGTCCAACCTAACCCTCTCTCCTCATCTAATATCTATTGACCCTCTCTTCATTATCACATCTCAACCTGGCCATCAACCTCTTCCAACCATCAAGTACTTTGGTACCTCTACTACTATTCCGCCACCCTTCTGTAGTATTCCTCCCATTCTCGCTGCTCATTATGCCCCATTCCTGTCTCAATCTCTCAGCGGTACTCTTTCAAGATTTTACAATGTACCTTCACCTTATCTACCATCTTTTCTTCTCTGACTATATACCTCGGCGTCTCCATGGCCACCAGTACCTGGTTTTCATTTCCTCTAACAGCCCTTGTTCCTTCCATCTCTATATCTCCACCCCATACATCATAATGCTTTTTATCAAGCTCTGAAACATTATTCTCTCTTTTCCCACATCACTCCCAAATATTATCTCACCTCATCCCCAGACCTGCCCCGTAACCTTATTCCCTTTCATTACCACCATTCTAATATGCCCGCCTTAATTGTTCTATTTAAATCGGTAGCTTAACTATGTTACTTCCTTTACAAACCTTCATCATCTTCGTTTTGTCTACATTCGTCTCCAAATTCTTCCCCCTTAAATACCTTTTCAGAGACCGCATCATTGCCCTCATATTGTGGCAATGGTAGGTGATATACCCACCTCTCGCGATCACTACCAAGACGTATCCCTGCCTCAATCCCCTTGTCGTCCAAACCTTAGAGTTTAGAGAGAGCTTTCCTTCTTTTCGATCCATCTCTCCATTGACCTTTCAATATATACACGTTGTTTATCTCTCCTCTTCCCTTTCTAAACCCTCCTTGATCATCTGGCAGGAGTTACCTGTCCTCTATCTCTCTCTCTCTCTCTCTCTAGCCTAGCTAACAATACCTTCATCTTGTACGTCATATTTACTAAGCTAATACGTCTATAACTCTCCACTATCTCTTTCCTTCCATTTTTGTACAAAGGACTTATTATCGTCGTGCTCCACCCGTTCGGAAACCCTTCTCCCCTCCATACCTTGCTCAACGCCATCAACATCTCACTCATCTTCACCGTTGCTTCCAACCATGCCTCGTTCTCGACATTATCTTCTCCTCTCTATACCATTCCCTTCTTCAATTCCCCCAGTACTGCCTCCAGCTCTTGTTGACCCAGGCGCTATAATGATGAGTATGATGACTCTTAAATACAACCTCGGCTTATATTCTTAGTTATTTCTTACCTCGCTTTATATTTTTGCTGCTGCAAAGTTACTACATTGGGAACTATTAAAGACAAAAAGATGATCGAATTAATGCTTCGACTGCAAGCGACCTCGGCTTATATTCTTGGTTGTCCAATACAAAGCACGACTGTTGTTAGCTCGGCTTATGTTTTCACTGTTGCCGGGTTAGGTTAGTTTATAGATCGAGGTAATACCTCGCCCGCGAGTTACCTCAATACATTCTCTATTTTTAACTGTTAACATTATAGATCAGCCTAACCCAGTAACAAGAATACAATCAGAGGTCGCTTTCGACCGAGGCGCTATGATAATAACCCCTGAACACAAAGCACGATTGATAAAAAACTTCGACCGCAAACGACCTCAGCTTATAGTTTTGTAGCTACCAGGTTGTTAATGGATACTGTTAAAGACGAAGAATGATGGAGGTGAGACTTTGGCTTATATTCTTGGTTGCCATACAATATTTAAGCCAAGATCACTTGCGGCCGAGGCGCTACAATGATGACCTTTAAAGACAAAGTGTGATTGATTATGTCTTAATTCTATGTCTGTGTAGACATCTATGTAACAAATTTCAAATCTATGTACTGCATATACAGGTGTCCCGTATCTTCCGCATCAGAGCATTATATGGTTGTAGCATACATTATTC